TCACGCTCACAGCAACCTCCAACTCCTGGGCTCAAGCGAGTCTCCTGCCTCAGCCTCCCAAGTAGCTGGGACTGCAGGAGCCCGCCACAACGCCTGGCCATTTTTTGGTTGCAGCTATTATTGTTGTTTGGCGGGCCGGGCTCGGAATTCAAACCCACCACCTTGGGTGTATGTGGCTGGCGCCTTAGCCGCTTGAGCCACAGGCGCCGAGCCTGTGTTCACATGTTTATCTCTGCCTGGTAGAACATAACCCATGAGAAGAAGAGACCTTATCCGTCTTGCTCATTGCTGTGCCCTTAATAAGTCTAGGGCTCTTCAGGACACCAGGCCGTGGAAACGGGGTGTAGGGGGAGCATTAGGGTACACAGAGATATGTAAGAAATACAGGGTTTGGAGAAAACCTGTATAAGAAACAGAACAAAGTTACATAGAACAGAACTCTTACTAGAATGTTTAAAATACATACAATTTGATATACATTTTAATGACTATACCCTTAACACAAATTTGGAACCTGGATTGGAAGAGGAGGGGATGAGAACAGGAGTTAATGGGTATGGTTTGCAGGACAGATATACACAGTAAAAAGGAGGCTGTGACCAACTTGATTCTATGTTTACGGTTAAAATAAAAGGAGGGGACCGAGAGAGGGTGTGATGGACATGGCGGCCTGTGACAGCGGGTGGCAGACCTGGAGTGGGGTGACTCTAGGTGCTGCGTCCTGTTCGCTCAGGCACTGGGCAGGCACTCTGGGTGACCGTCCCTAATGAGCCCAGCCATCGCGGTGAGGGTGCACATCCCCAGATAACTCCAGCCCAGCCACCAGTCACCCCGGCCATACATGTCTTCCCACGTCGTGGAGCAGAGAAAAAGCTGTGTCCTGTACGCAGGACCCGTGAGAATCTGAACAGCCGTTGGATGACACTCCTGAGGCTGGGGTGGTTTGTTACAGTAGGTAACTGATCAGGTTGAGAGAGAGAAGGGAAGGCTCGGGCTGGCAGATGGTCTGGGGAGGGACTGGAGGAGACAGAGGGCGGGCAGGGAGGGGGTTGATGTGGACCAGGCAGGAATGAGAACCAAGCGCGGCAACGCAGCAGCCAGGTGAACAGACACGTCTACCCACATCCCCGTCGTCACACAGCTCGAGTGCGAACCAGCAGCCGAGCGGGACGCCCCCGCCCCTTCCTCCGCAGCCTCAGCGCGTCGTCCTCCGGGGGCCCAGATCTCCGACCTCGACCTCCTCAGCCCACCCAGCCCTCCAGGCCAAGGTGATTCCCCGCAGCCTCACAGCGAAGCTTTGTGCCTCCCGGCTTGTCCACACCTTGGCCTCCCGCATCACTTCCCTTATCCCCGGCCCTCGGGTGTGCCTGGCTCCACACATCCCTTCGCTTTCCTCCATTTTGTCCGAGCCTCCTCCTCCTGCTCGCCCTGATTCCAAAAGTCGTCCTCAGACTCTAAGAGCAGGCTGTCCGCACACCCCGCCCTCTTTCCTTCCTGGAGCCCTGAGCATCCCAGCCCCGGACTAGCACTCCCAGCCCCGCATCCTCCGCGGGCCGACACACGCCCCCGCGCGCCGGCCGCGCGGCCCAGGTGGATGCGCGCGCGTCCGTGGAGCGGGATCCGGGAGCCGGCACACCCTGGCACGCCGCGCCGTCCCGCCCAGCGCCGCGGATTGGCTCCCAGCAGGCTGGCCCGGCCCGATTGGCGCGGCCGCGCGGTCTTCTGTCCGTTTCTCGGTGGGCAGCAAGACAGCGCGGATGCCGCTCGTCCCGCCGCGGTCCCGAGGAGCGCGGAGCCGCGAGCGCCCGGGCGGGGCGAGCGGGGACACAGCGAGTAGCCGCTCCCGCTGCCCACCCCGGGCCCGCGCCCAGGGCAGCGGACAAAGGGCCATGCGGGGCCGCGGGCGCTGAGCGCGGCGGGCGGGCCGGGGATGCGGCGCCGCTGAGCGCGGCCGGGGGCGGGGGCAGCCGCGATGCCGTGGTTCCCAGTGAAGAAGATACGCAAACAGATGAAGCTGCTGCTGCTGCTGCTGCTGCTCACCTGCGCCGCGTGGCTCACGTACGTGCACCTGAGCCTGGCGCGCCAGGGCCGCGCGCTGCGCCAGCGGCTGGGCTACGGGCGAGGTAGGGGAGGGCGCGCGCCTGGGGGTGGGGGGCAGCGAGGGCCAGACCCGCCAGAGCACCCCTCACGCCCCTCCCAGCTCGGCGATATTGGGGGAGGGGGCGCGGCAAGGCCCGGACGCCCGATGACGTCATCAGTGACGTGCACGCCCCTCTTGGGGAGCGTCCCTGACCCTTGAGGTCTGGAGGACCTGGCCTGGATCTGATAGTAATAGGGTTAACCGTGGGCTCTTGGGGAGATTTCCTCCCTTAGTCTCTGCTGGGGTTTCCTAGTGGCCCATTGTGGCCTCGCTTAAACACTTGCCCGCTGCCCACTTAGCGGGGCCTCAGTTTCCCCATCTGCTGGCAAGGAGCGGCGAGGGGGTCGCCCAGGGATCCAGCTTTGACCCAGCCCGGTTAGGGAAGTGATTGGGGGGCAATTAGAAGCCTCCTAGAGGGATGCCCTAGCAAACAGCCATCAGGCTCTCAGGTGCCTTTGTGCTGAGGGGGGCCTGTGCCCAACCTGGGGGCCCAGAGCTGCCTGGAGTAAACTCTCCCAGGGTCCTGGCACCACAGTCCAAAGGGGGTGGACGATTAACCCACAAAGCAGATCAAGTCCTGGTGAGCCAAGGGAGGACCTCTTGGGAACAGTGATCTTTGACACATAAGATGTGGGGAAAGGGCACTCCAGACAGAGGAGGGCACTGAAGAAAGCCTGGTGGGAGGGGGAGGGCAGAGTGCCTCTGACCTGACCGTGCAAAGGAAAGGAGTAAACAGCAAAGCAGGAGCAGAAGCCCACCTAGGGGGGGCAATATCCCCACAGGGCTGCCCCTGACCCTTGTCAAGGAAGCCAGGAGTCCAGAGGATGGGACGTGGGATGGGGGCATGTCTCTTGCAGACTAAGAAAGTCACAGGACTCAGGACCTCCACCTGAGGGCCCCACTCCTGCCTTCCACCTGCTGAATCCCTCTTTGTCCTCTGCACACTTGGCTCCACAGAGTGTTCACCAGACCCCAGCCAAGTATCTGGGGCTTGTCTTGACCCACAAGAGAGTCTCTGGGTTACCCCAAACCATGTGTCTCACAGCTGCCACACCCTTATGAGCTCCCCTGGACTTCTAAATCCCTAAAAGAAGACCCACCCCCAGTCCAGGTATCAGCAGACAGGGCAGGACCAGAACTGCCCAGTGACATGTGATAAAACCAGTCCCTCCTTGGGCACCTCTGTGGCTTTTTGAAACCCTAATCTGGCTTTCTGAGTAGCTAGAAGGGGTGGAGGTAGAGAAAAGCCCACTTCTGAGGAGCTCTCTGCTATCATTTGGAAAAAGCTTGGAGGCTAGACCAGTGAGCAGCCCTGGTTACTCCCAAATGGGCCATAGCTGTTCTGAGTCCTGGATAAGCAGCCTATAGCTTTTCTGGGACCTGGTAGAGCATGGTTGCTATCCAGCCATCTCAGCCCCCACAAGCCAAGGCTTGTGAGAACCTGAGCAGCTGGACATGTGTGAAGCTGTTCTGACTACTTTGTCTGTACTGTTCCACTGCCACCTGGGGACCAGCACTGGAGTGGTGTACAACAGCCCATGTAGAGGTCCCCACAGGTGGGTGGAGTGAGGGGCACTCAGCCTCTACAGGACAGTGGTGGCAGCCCAGGCAGGGGCCCCACCGCAGAAGGCTCCAAATGCCCCTGTGTATCTGGACTTTGTTGGGGTGTAGGAATTTGGTCAGGACCCTGTTAGGGGGTCCTTTCCCACTTGAGCAGAGGAGAGTGAAGGGGCTCCTGGAAGGGGAGCAGGCCCTGCAGGGACTTGGCAGGCAGAGACAGGGGCCCTCACCCCCTCAGCATGCCTCAGCCCTGCCTGCCCAGGCTTTTCACTCTGAGGTCTGGCATGGGGGACAGGTGTGGGTGTTGAGAGCCCGAGGTTGGCCCTGAAACAGAGACTGCTCATGGCCTGAGTGTCCTTGGATGAGTACCAGGAGGGACAGAATTGGGGTAAAATGAAGCCTCCCCATCTCATTCGTGGACCCCAGGGCATGGCAGGGATGTTTGATTCCACAGCACAGGGGGGTAGTCCAGGAGATGGGGGATGCTTGAGGGGCATCCCAAGAAGAGTTCCCCTAGGGAAAGTCTCCTTCCAGGGCCACCTTGGCCCCAGCTACTGTGGCAAATAGGACCATGTGCTATCTCCCCTCTGCCCAGGGTGGTGTCAGGGTTCTTTTGGTCCCCCACCCTGGCCTCACAGGCAGCAGATAGTATAGGTGCCATGGACCAGAGCAGTGCTGGGGTCTTCCTGGAGGCAGACAGAGCCTGTCAGCGAATGTGCACACCTGTACACACCAGCATGTGTGCACATCACTCCCTCACACCAGCTGGGGACTTGGGAAGAGGCTGGTGGAGGGCTCTGCCCTGGCTGCCCACAGAGGTGGGGTGTGGAAGGGTGGGTACCTGGTGGCATGGCGGTTTCTGCTGCTGACTGACTACAGCAGCAGGCACTGTGGCCTTGGAGAGAGCCTGGGCCCCCGACATGCCTCTTATGCTGCCCGTAGATGGTGAGAAGCTGACCGGCGTGACAGACGGCCGGGGCATCCAGGTTGCACCATCTACCCAGAGGGTGGAGGACTCTAGCGAGAGTCTTGAGGAGGAGCAGGCGGTGAGTGGGTGTAGGAAGAGCGCGTGTGCACAAGCACACGAGGCCCTGCAGCCACTGTTGGCTTTGGAGCCTGTCTGCATGTGGTGGAAGGGGCACATGCCTGTGGGCCCAGCACCAGGTGCCTACAGATGGGCTGGCCTGGAGTTTCAGGTCTGTGGGGCATGAGCATTCTGGCATGTGAGTGTGTGTAGTAGCTGAGCATCCACTTGGGCAGGTATAATGAGGGGGTGTCTGAGTGTGTACCATGTGCTGGGATGTATTGGGAGTGATATGGGGGTATTGAGAGGATTCTTTGTGAAGTTATATCCTCGTGTGTTTGTGGTTGACTCCTCCTTGGCCTGTGAGCCCTAACCCTGACACCATTTCTCTTCTGCAGTCCGAAGGCCAGGACCCAAACATGGTGTTACCTGGGAGGACTGGGAGGCTGACCCCACTGAACCTCACCCATCAGCCACCTCCATGGCGGGAGGAGGTGAGCTCTGCTGGTCCTGTGATGAGCTGGGAGGTGGGGTGGAGGCAGGGCAGGGACAGAGTTCGGAGGTGGGGGTAGGGAATGGGCCATTCAGCAGCTAAGGCCCCCTCACTCCCCAGTACAAGGGACAGGTGAACCTGCATGTGTTTGAGGACTGGTGTGGTGGTGCCGTGGGCCACTTGAGGAGGAACCTGCACTTCCCGCTCTTTCCTCATGTGAGTGCCAGGAAGGGTGGGGGGGCGCAGGGTGTTTGTGACCTGCAGCTGGTTGTGACCCTGCTGTCACTGTCCCCCAGACTCGCACCACTGTGAAGAAGTTGGCTGTATCCCCCAAGTGGAAGAACTATGGACTCCGGATTTTTGGTTTCATCCATCCAGCACGAGATGGTGCGGACGTGGGAGTGCTCTGGGTGAGGGTGTTCCTGAAGAGCCCCGCCCACTTGAGCCCTATCTTGTGGACTAGGTGATGTCCAGTTCTCAGTGGCTTCAGATGACAACTCTGAGTTCTGGCTGAGCCCCGATGAGAGTCCAATGGCTGCCCAGCTTGTGGCCTTTGTGGGCAAGGTAGCCCCCTACCCTCCATCCCCAGCCCTGTCAGTCTTCACCTGGCCTCCTGTAGCTCAGTTACCTGTCCCCTCTAGCTTCTTGGGAATGGGGACGAGGGGGGTCTGGTGCCCCCAAGGAGAAGGTGCCCACCCTTGCTATATCCCCCAGACTGGTGCTGAGTGGACAGCTCCTGGAGAATTCACCAAGTTCAGCTCTCAGGTGTCCAAGCCCAGGAGGTGAGTGACCTGGGTGTGACCTACAGCATATCTGAGCGTGCATGGGGAGAGGGAGACTGCATGATGGCACCTCACCCTGTGCACACTTGCCCATGGTGCACACGTGCCATCCCAAGCAAAACCCCTGTCCTGAAGGACAGTCCTGCAGGGTGAAGGCACACCCACCCCTTTCTTTGGGCTCCCCAGAGGTTTGTTTGGGGTTCCTGGTTATGGCGGGTGTACAGCTCCAACTTCTCTGTCCCCAGGCTCATGGCCTCCCGGAGGTACTACTTTGAGCTGCTACACAAGCAAGATGACCGAGGCTCAGACCATGTGGAAGTGGGCGTGAGTGTGGCTGCCCTCCTAGAAGCTTCCAGAGACTCCACCGGAGCCACCCTCCTGTGGGACACCGCAGCATGCCCCCCCCCCCAGCTTTCCCCCTAGCTGACAAAACAGATGCCCAGGGCTGTGGGCCTGAGGTCAGGGGGCTCTGCTTTCTGGAGGTTCGAACTTGACTGACCACTGAGCCCTGAGCAGAGTCTTAAGAGAAGAGAGATGTCTAGTGGGGAGATGTGGAAGGAGATAACTTGGGGGATTCCAGACCAGAACAGCAAAGGAACAGACCAGCATCTTCTGAGACCCCCAAGGGGCCTGAGGCCACACTGGGCAGCTGGGGCTCTGTCCTGAGAACAAGGTAGTCAGTGTTGCATTTCTGGAAGGACCAGCTGGCCACTGCAGAAAAAAACTGGGGGAAGAACTTTTATGTGTCACCTTTATAGTCCCTGAACCAGGGAGATGGCCCTCAGGGTGGTAGCTGGAGATGGGATGGGGGCGTGAACCCAGCCAAAGGGCCTGGTGTTTGCTGGGGTGGGGCATCTGGACAGTGACCAGGGCTGGGTAGGGCTTTCAGTCCAGTGCTGTGGAGTGCTCCATATGTCTGGTCTATGCCAAGTGCTCACCTTGGCAGAGGGCCTGGGCTGGACACACAAGCTTGAAGTGACCCTGAGGCCCCAGGTGAGTTGAGAGCAGAAGGGCCCAGGGCAGCCCCCAAAGCCCCAATTTAAGAGCAGTGGAAGAGGTACAAGGAGGCCTACAGGAGGGGTGCTGGATCTGGCCCTTGGAGGGTCAGCAGTGACCTCAGGAGAAAGCAGATAGGGTTTGAAGCCATGACCAGCAGGCCAGGAAGATCTTGGGAAGAATGGGAGGCCAGTGAATACCCCCAGGACCCTGAGCTTTCTGGACTGCCTTCTCCAGCTTCCACATCGCCTCTTTTCAGGATCAAGACCCTAGGCCCCCTCCACAGAACCTCCAAGCTCCCTGAATCCTTTGAGGCAGCGGTTCTCAACACAGGAACTGTATTAAAGGGCCATGGCATTAGGAAGGTTGAGAACCACTGTTTTAAGGGAATGGGTCCCCCACCCACAGCCAGAGAAGACTCCTTCCTCCCTCGACTCAGCTGTGGTCCTGTTCCCAACTCCTACCCTTTCTGCCCCCCAGTGGCGAGCTTTCCTGCCCGGCCTGAAGTTTGAGGTCATCAGCTCTGCTCACATCTCCCTATACACAGGTGCGGGCAAACATCTCTTTGGGAATGTGAGACTCTGGTGTAGCTTCTGGATGTGGGTGGGTAGGATTCAGAGGGGTTCCGAGCACTCCTGGGAACCCAGCATCTCTCTACCCCAGACGAGTCTGCCCTGAAGATGGACCACGTGGCTCATGTACCCCAGTCTCCAGCTAGCCACATGGGCAGGCATCTGCCGCAGGAGGAGCCCAGTGCAGACATGCTGCGGCCCGACCCCAGGGATACCTTCTTCCTCAGTGAGAGGGGGCCTTAGGGGTTGAGGGTGGGGGAGCTGTGCCCTGGCCACTCTGTGACCGCCCCTCCTGCAGCTCCTCGGATGGAGCCCTCCAGCCTGGAGAATGTGCTGGAGCCCTGCACCTACGCTCCCACCTATGTCGTCAAGGATTTCCCCATTGCCAGATACCAGGGACTGCAATTCGTAAGATGGGGGACTGGGACTCCCATCCATGCCTCCCCTGAGCCTTCTCCAGTCCCTGGGCACAACGGGACGGCCACCCACCACAGGCCTCTGCCCTGCCCCCAGGTGTACCTTTCCTTCGTTTACCCCAATGACCACACTCGCCTCACTCACATGGAAACAGACAACAAGTGCTTCTACCGGGAGTCTCCACTGTACTTGGAAAGGTAGGTGGATAGGTGGCCCATGAACAGGTGGGAGAGGGGGCAGTGGCAGGTGGGTCCTTGATACCACCTCCTGCCCAGGTTTGGGTTCTATAAATACATGAAGATGGATGAAGAGGAAGGAAAGGAAGATGAGGAGGAAGAGGTGCAGCGCCGAGCTTTCCTCTTCCTCAACACTGATGGTGAGCACCCCTAGATGATCAATGCCCCCAGATGGTCAGCACCCCCAGGCCTTACCTAGTTGGGCATGGCTGTGTCAACCTGTGCTCTCTGCAGACTTTCTGGATGAGGGGGAGCTGCCCGACAGTCTGGAGCCCACCGAGCTGTCCTCACCACAGAGCAGCCACGGGTCCACCACCCCTATGGCCCCCACTGAGGGCAGAGCCATGCTAGCACAGCCAGCACCTCCCAGCCCCCAGGATGAACGGAATCTTCGACACTCCCGGGCCCTGAGCTGGGCTGCCCGGGCTGCCCACACCTTGCCCCTCTTCTTGGGAAGAGCTCCACCTCCCCGCCCTGCAGCCCAGCAGCTGCCCCCAAAGGTGTATGTGACCAGGGTGCGGCCAGGGCAGCGGGCATCCCCCCAGGCCCCAGCCCCACGTAGCCAGCCCTGGTCACCTTTCCCTGGTGCCTTCCTGCACCGCAGGCTTCTGCCCGGGGTACAGCTGCGGATGCCCCCACGCCCACCCCGGCCCATTGGCCACAGGACCAGTGGACCCCAGGCCACACGGCCACAGCTCCCAACCCGGGTGCAGGCCTCCCAGGAGGGCCGGGAGGGTCAGGTGCACACACCGGCACCCATGGCACACACAGTGGACTTGAACTCCTCATCTGAAGCTCAGTCTGTGACCTCCTTCCTAAGCTTGTCCCAGGTGTCCAGGCCACAGTTGCCCGGGGAGGGGGAGGGGGAGTATGAGGAGGAAGGGGAGGACAACGGGGCCCCAGGCCAGGAAGCTGCATCTGAGGAAAGTGAGGAGGCTGCTGGCCGGCCCCTCGGCCGCTGGCGGGAGGATGCCATCAACTGGCAGCGCACGTTCAGCGTGGGCGCCATGGACTTTGAGCTGCTGCGCTCTGACTGGAACGACCTGCGCTGCAACGTGTCTGGGAACCTGCAGCTGCCCGAGGCGGAGGCTGTGGATGTGGTGGCTCAGTACATGGAGCGGCTCAATGCTCGCCATGGAGGGTATGGGGATTGCACCTGGGGAGATGAGACCCTGCCCTCCACAGAACCCTCAGACCTCCCCAGGGTTCAACAGCATACTGGACTGCTGTAGCCCTCTGGAAGCGCCAGGCCTCCTCCACTCCTAGTCTCCTTACTGCCCAGGGTCTTGTCCACCCTTGGGGACCTCCCTAGAGCCCTTCCCAGGACTGGTTCCCCATCCCTCACCTGCAGACCCTGCTCTGCCACCCTGGACCTGGGCCCAAAAATGGAGCCAAGCCACAGCAGCCAGTGTCAGTCCCATTCGGGGGCCAGACAGAGAAAGCCCAGGACACCTTGGTTATCACAGAGGGGTCTGGGCCTGATTCCATGGAGGTGCAGAGCTCTTGCCCCCTGGGCCCTTCTGGTCCTCCCCAGGCCCTGGAATGCAGTCTTATCTGTCTCATGCAGATGGAGCCCATAAGGGGTGAATTTAGTGTCCCAGGAAGCCCTGTAGCATCTTCTAAGAAGAGGTGGTGTCTATTGGGCACTGCCTTGAAAAATGGTAGCGTCTGTAGGGAGACTGATGACTTGTGACACCACCACCCCCACTGAGCCTCCATTGAGCTCTCCATGTACTGCCCACCACCCCTTGGCGGGCAGAGGACTGAGCTGGAGCCATGCCCAGGATTAAATTTCCCCGTGCATGATGGGAGGTTTTGAGCAGGGCAGGAGTTTGGCCTGTCTGGGTTGCAGACAGGTATGCTGTTTGCTCCCTTAGGGGAGCGGCCCCAGGGCCGGGGGGTGCTGGCTTCTGGATGGCTTGAGGGTACACCTGCCCTTGGCTTTAAACTTTCTGAGAGTGAGTGGCTCATTGTGTCAAGGACGTGACAGGGCCTGTCCAGACAGGGTGATCATGGTTGTGGCCTCACCTTTGCCCACATGGGTACAAGGGTGTATGTGGCCCCAAGGAGCCAAGAGCAGAGAGTACGTGGCACGAGCATGGTGGGGATGGGTGGAAGTTTGGACTCCTCAGCAGCCACTCTACCCAGGTGAGGGGCACTGGCTACCCAGGGAGTATAAGACAGACCTTAGCCTAGGGCAGGGCCCTATTTTATCAAGATCAGGAGAGGCCTCTGCTTGGGGGCAGAGAGGAGGGAAAGTGAGGTGCTGGTCTGGGCAGGAAAAAGAGAAAGGGGCAGGACTGGCCAGCCTCTGCTCAGGATTGGGATGGCCCTCCCTACTGGTGCCTGGAGAGAAAGGGAGGCTACTCACACACCAGCAGGGGACACTGCAGGGCAGGGAAAGGAAAGGAGCTTCACTGGGGAAAGGGGATCTGCAATCATAGTGTGAAGGCAAGAGGTAAGGCCACAGTGAGGAGCTGCTTAGGTCCTGGGATGCCCCACTAAGGACCTGGAGGAGCCTTGTCCTGTGAGTGGTGAACTTCTGAAGTTTCCACGCAGGGGAATGACGCTACAGGCCAGCATGTCCTAACCATCACTTCCGATGTGAGTGGTGGCCAGAGGCCCGGCCTGGGCTGGGGGATGCCTCCCAGGTCTCATTAGGGCTGGCCACACTGCTCTAAGTAGTATCCCGTGTGGTCTGCCCTACTTCCTGTGCTCCCTGGGAAAGAGAGGCGCAAAGTCGAATGGCGGTGTGGGGACCCAGGCATGGAGGCGTCCTGACCACCTCCAGTCTGCCGAGTTTCAGGGGCTGGTGGGGGCGCCTTGCAAGGAGAACCAGGGTGGAGGAGGGTACAGGCACCAAGTCCAGAGCCCTTGGCCGGTCCTGACTACCCCATCCCGCAGGCGCTTTGCGCTTCTGCGCATCGTAAACGTGGAGAAGCGCCGAGACTCCGCACGCGGGAGTCGCTTCCTGCTGGAGCTGGAGCTGCAGGAGCGCGGGGGCGGTCGCCTGCGCCTGTCCGAGTACGTCTTCTTGCGACTGCCCGGGGCCCGCGTTGGGGACGCGGACGCAGAAAGTCTGGAGCCGGTGCTTGCCGCCTCTGCGCGCCCTGACGGCCGCCCGGAGCTCTGCCGGCCGCTGCGCCTGGCATGGCGCCAGGACGTGATGGTGCACTTCATTGTGCCAGGTGGGTGGGACGCCCACGGGGCGGGGGGCGCTCCCGGAGACCTCTTGGAGTAATGGAGACCTAATGCGAAGCGAGAGCATGGGGTGGCTGGAATGAGTTTCTCTTGGCCTGCAAGGGCGGTTTGGGGCCGGCTTAGCATTTGCTGCTTCTTCCAGTGAAGAACCAGGCGCGCTGGGTAGCACAGTTCCTGGCAGACATGGCTGCGCTGCACATGCGCACTGGGGATTCGCACTTCAGCGTGGTCCTGGTGGATTTCGAGAGCCAGGACATGGATGTGGAGCGGGCCCTGCGAGCAGCACAGCTGCCTCGGTAATGCCACACCACCTGTGAACATGCAACATCTTTCCTCCCCTGGGAGGTGGGTTTTTCTGACCCCACCCCAACGATCAGTGCCTGTGACTCCCTCCCAGGTACCAGTATCTGAGGCGAACTGGGAACTTCGAGCGCTCTGCTGGGCTGCAAGCTGGAGTAGACGCAGTGGAGGTTGGTGGGCCAGGTGGGGGTGTCCGGAGCAAGGGGATGCATAGCAGAGAGGTGGGACTGAGTCCTCCCTCCTGGCAGGACGCCAGCAGCATCGTTTTCCTCTGCGACCTGCACATCCACTTCCCACCCAACATCTTGGATGGCATCCGCAAGCACTGTGTGGAAGGCAGGCTGGCCTTTGCACCTGTGGTCATGCGCCTGGGCTGTGGGAGCTCACCGGTGGACCCGCACGGTAATGCCCTGAGGGCCCCCCTAGGACTGCTGGGGGTCCTTCCAGCCACAAGAGTAGAGTCCAGGACCCCCCACCAATGCCTCTGTAGTGCCCAGAACGCCTGCCTCCCACCAGCCCCATTAGGCCTGAGGTGCCCCTGGGTGGTGGCCGAGCCCTGAGGGAGATGCTGAAAGCCCCAGAAGTCACAGGCCCTGCACCTGGCCCCCTCTGCAGGCCTTTTGGGGAGAAAGCCTTGCAGGACCTGGCATCTGAAGGCCACCTCATCCCATCCCCACCCCAGGTTATTGGGAGGTGAACGGCTTCGGCCTCTTCGGGATTTATAAGTCAGACTTTGACCGGGTCGGAGGCATGAACACTGAGGAGTTCCGAGACCAGTGGGGGGGCGAGGACTGGGAGCTGCTGGACAGGTGACCGCTACCCCTAATGGACATGGAGGAGACTCCACTGTCCTCTGAATGGGAAGAATGGAATTACAGGGCCCTCATGTGCTGAGGGGCCTCTGCTCCCTCATCTCCCCAGAATCCTGTGGGCTCAGAGAAGCCCTCCCCACCCTGCTCCCCAAACCCCTTCCTACCCTGTCTGCAGATATGCAGACAGCCTTGGCCCACTTGTGCCCCATCCTACAGGCCCTGTGTCCCCACCCTGACTCCCCAATCCCTGGACAAGGGTCCTAATGTGCTTTGTCCTGCCCCAGGGTCCTGCAGGCAGGGCTGGAGGTAGAGCGGCTCCGACTGCGGAACTTCTATCACCACTACCACTCCCGGAGAGGCATGTGGGGCACACGCAGTAGGGGGGGTCCCCGTGCAGCTGGGTCCTGAAGACGGGCAGCCTCTCCTGACCAGCTAGTTCCTGTGGCGGCTGCTATGGGGCTCACCGGGGGGCACAGCCACCGCCTGTGCCTGCCCATCTCTGGCATTTAGGGGCCCTGTTCCACACCCCTCCCCAGAGAGGCAGCTTTCACAGCAGGTGGGGCCCTGGCATTGGTCACCACACTCTGCAATGATTTCTGTGAAATTTTGCTGTAGCGATGACATTGTTTTCAGGATTTCCGAGAGTTCTGTCTGTTCCATTTTTTATTCAGAATGAAATGAAATATTTTTTTTAGTTCTGACTTGTCTTCTTGCCTGGTTCTCTGGAACCCTGGATGCAGCCTAGCTACTCTGGACATCCTCCTCAGCACTCAAGACCACTCACCCCTTCCTGCCCCTGGGCTTCTTCACTGGGCCCTGGGGGTGGGGTTTCTTCCTCTCATCCTGTGCCAGTAGAGTCTTTGGTCCCTGATAACACAGTGCAGAACCTGCCCACACTGCAGCAGAGAGCAGATGTCACTTCCCAGTTCCCTTTGCTCTGAAAACACCTGGCTGTGTTAGTCCCACCTCATCAGCAGGATCCCTTGGGGTCCTGTGTGGGGCTAGGGGTAATCAATTAGGACTTACCAGACGGAAACAGAAAACCCAACTCATACTCGTTAAACTATAATGGGGGTGGGGGCTGTTTGGTTTTTGCTCACATAACTGGAAGTTCAGGGCCAGGAGGACACCAGGGAGTATTGACCCAGAGGCCAGACAGTGCACCAGGACTGTGCTGCCATTGACTTTCAGCTTGTTCTCAGCTGGGGAGGTCAGTACTCTGAGCTTATATGAGTCCCTTATGGCCACTGTAGCAAATCACAAATCAGAGTGCCCACTCCTTCTAGTCTACCTTTTCTGCTGAGTGGCTTGAACAATGCAGATTTATTATCTTAAATCTGCGATCAGATGTCCTAAAATTAAGACATCAGCAGGGCTGTGCTCCTTCTGGAGGCCTCTCCTGTTTCTCTGCCTTTCCAGCTTCTGGAGGCCCCTTGGGTGGTTCCTGGCTCAGGCCCCCTCACCCTCAAAGTCAGCAACTGGGTCTCCTCCTCTCTGCTTTCATCAGCACATCTCCCGCCCCTCTTATAAGGAGCCTGATGATCACTGTGGGCCCACCCAGAGGACCCATGATATCCCCATCACAGCTTCCTTCACTGGATGTTACGTCTACAAAGCCCTTTCTCCAGATTGAGGCAACAGCCATAGGCACTGGGATTAGGGTGTGGATGTGTCTGGGGTCATCTACCTCCCTCATTCACATGCCTGGCAACCCAAGCTGTCTTCTCAAGATTCACCTGAATAGCAGCCTTAGGTCATGCCTCACCATGGACACAGGACAGCAGAAAAGGTAGACTAGAAGGAGGAGCCAGGTGGGCACTCTGACTTATCCCCCAAAAAACTGGAGATGGCAACACTGGAAGGGCTGGGAAGGGGCATTTGGTTCTATGGTTGCTGACCAGTGTGGCCAGCTGATGTGAGTAGATATATGGGCTTCACAAGTCCTATCCCAGGCAACAGGGGCCCCCCAGGGTGAAACCCGACTGACTGGCCACATGCCTGCCTGGAAGCTGCCAGGTGCCCAGCTGGCACTGCTTGTTCTTTCCTAAGTATCTAGTTCAGGTGGAACTGTTTCCACTCACATATGCTTCACAACAAGAAAAGAATTAGCATTGCATTTAATAATACCACTCCAAGAAATTGAGGAACAGAGAAGAGAAATGTAGATGATATTCAGAAGAAGAATGAACCTTGGGAAGCAGAGAAACACTTCACACAAAATTTCATATAATCTGCACTTTGCTCACATTGTAATTTATTACTCTTTGTCAATGACTATTCGTTGAGCATTTACTAGGTGTCAAGCATCGAGGGAAAGCAGTGGAGAGAACAGACAAAACCCTGGCCTTTGTAGATTGTACATTCCAATGCAGGGTGGAGAGGGTAGGGGTCAGTGGTGATGTTTAAGGAAATTTTTTAAAATTTTATTTGGGGGGGTGATACAGGCTCACTTTGTTGCCCAGGCTAGAGTGTTGGGGCATCATTGTAGCTCACTACAACCTGAAGGACTCAAGCGATCCTCCTGCCTCAGCTTCCCAAGTAGCTGGGACTACAAATACCCGCCACAGTGCCCAGCTAATTTTTCTACTTTTAGTAGAGATTGTGTCTTGCTCTTGCTCAGGCTGATCTTGAACTCCTGAGTTCAAGCAGTCCTCCCACTTCAGCCTCTCAGAGTGCTGGGATTACAGGTGTGAACCACCCGGCCTGGCCAGAATATTTTTTTAATCAACGATATAAACAAAGGAAATAAAAATTATCTGACAACACTTGGAAAAGAAATGGAAGAGAAAAACAAAATGTTTACAGAAATAAAAGCCACTTTAGCAATTTCTTTTCTTGTCCTTATTTATTTTGAGTCAGAGTCTCACTGGGTAAAGTGCCATGGCATCATCATAGCTCACAGCAACCTCAAACTCTTGGCCTCAAGCGATCGTCTTGCCTCAGCCTCCTGAGTAGCTGGAACTATGGGCTCCCAACATGTCTGGCTAGTTTTTCTAATTTTAGCAGAGATGGGGTCTTGCTCTTGCTCAGGCTGGTCTTGAACTCCTAAATTCAGGTGATCCACCTGCCTTGGCCTCCCAGAGTGCTGGGATTATAGGACTCAATTTAGCAATTTCAAAAAATAAGAATATGGCTGGGCATTGTGGCAGGTGCCTGTAGTCCCAGCTACTTGGGAGGCTGAGGCAGGAGACTCACTTGAGCCCAGGAGTTGGAGGTTGCTGTG